GGACCAGTTCATTTTGGTTTTGTGGTTTAATTGACTAAACCAATCTTGTTAAGGCTAGTTAAGTGGTATTTATGACTGGTTTAGGCAGGTTCAGGGTGTTTAAGGCTAGTTTAGGCTGGTTTAGTGACGGTTGAGGTAAGTTCAGGTTAGTTCGGTGGTGTTTGAGATAGGTTTAGACTAGCTTGGTAGTGTTTGAAGGCCAGTTCAGACCAATTTAGTGGTGTTTGAGGTTAATTTAGGTTCAGTTTAGTGGTGTTTGAGACTAGTTTAGGGGTGTTTGAGACCAGTCCATACTGGTTTAGTGGTGTTTGAGGTCGGTTCATGCTAGTTTAGTGGTGTTTGAGGCTGGTTTCGATCAGTTTAGGGGTATTTGAAATTGGTTTACTTCAGTTTAAGGGTTTTAACATGAAATTAGTTATGTTTTTGGTTTGTTTTGAGTTTGGGTATTAGATAATAAACATTGAGATACATGCTAAGGTTCTGAAATAACATTAAGGACAAATGTAAGTAATCAAGCCCTTAATTAATTAAATTTTAATTTGATATTGATGTTTTGTTATTGTAATTGTAGATACACTCGAGGATACACACTTTGATCGTCAAGTTATCATTACAAAGATTCGAACTTTTGATTTCTATTTGTATTATGAGTGATAATATTTATTCTATGTATGTGTTTTGAATGTTAATATGTTACCTACTACGAAAATGAGTTTTATGATACAAATATATTACTTGTTATGATATGGTTTATCATTTTGGAAAACAAATCTAGGACATGTATTCTAGTACTGCTTTTGAAATGTGTGAGCAGATTTTTAAATATTATATACTTTTGCAACTGATTTGAAATAAATACGTATGTGTTATCTGTTTGAAAATATTTGAAACATGCCTGGGAGAGATATGTTTTGCTTTGTGATAATTTTGTCTGTGATAGCTCTGGCTTGAGATGCTCGACCAATGATTTGATACGATTTGTTGATATGAGATTTTATTCTAGTATGTGATATTTTATACATTTGACATAATGTGTTTTGTCGTGAGAAGAGAGTTCTAATTTGGTTGTATTCTAATATATGATACCTTTGACACGATATGCTCTACTATTGATATTATTTTTTGTTTAGATGCTCCACCTTATTCTGAGTATTACAAGGCATATACTATAATTTCAATGATATACTTTAGCTACTCACTGTCTAAACCATACATATGTGATTTTGGCATATTTTATGATATATGTCCCGACCTGACAAGAGTTTATATTATCATTTACTAAGTTTTATACTTATCTCTTCTCTAATATTTTTCAGATCGTAGTTTTGGTTCACCTTCTCTATTCATCCTAAGCGTGTACATAATTTCTCTAACGAGTCTAATCTTGAATACAAGCAACATTATTTATATCTATTTGTACTTTAGAATTGCTAAATTTTGCTTTTCAGATAGGATCTTTTCGTTTATATAAGCATTTGACACTATATCAAATTTGTTTAATTTATTATCTTTCATTCTATCTGAAACTTAGTGGGGTTGGTGATTTAATCTTAATGTCGGCCATGTGCCTCGTTTCGAGACGTGACACTATTCATCCTTCCTTATCATAGAGTTAGCCATTATCATCATTTGCCTTTTGTCATTGCAGCCTTCCTATTTCACAATCGCAATTGCAGAGGCCGTTGTAGTTGATTTTTGTAGAGTTTATCGTAGAGTCGCTGTTTATCGTTCATCGACTACATTGTAAAGTGTTGTTTATCATTCCCCAATCCTTGAACAAATCGATAAGATTTTATAGTTTCTATGAAGAATTTATAGAAGGAAAAGATATAGTGATGGAAAGGAAATCCCTTCCCTATCTACTTCTATTATTATTATTTTTATAATTTTGTTCCCTTTACCTTTCTTGTGTCGTGATAAAACACAAGTGAAATCCCTTTCATTTCCTTTTGTTTCTTCATTTATTTTCTCTATTCTTTCGTTTGTTTTTAATATAGTTAGCAAAATATGAGATGAAAAATTATAATATTTATGATATATAAGTATAATATATATATTTTATAAAAATTAAGTTTGATTATTTGACAAAAATTACAAATTCGTTAAAATTACACTACATAAAGAATATAATTATTTTATAATAATTTAAAAATATGGAATAAAAAATATGTTATTTTATTCATTTATTTAGTTTTTTTTTGTATAAATACATTTTTGCATATTAACCACATTTTTCCTTCAAAACATATAATGATCTATAGATAAAATATGTTCTTATATATTTTTGTATTTTTATATGATATAAATCATTAATAGCTAAAAAAGATTTGAGTAAAGTTATGTATGACTAATATTTTAAGTTAATTTTAAAGTAAGCAAGTATGTCAAAATTTAAATATCAAATATTGATTAAAAAATATCAATTGTCAACAATGTTTAATCTAAAAATATCAAAAATTTTAATAATCCAGTATAATGAGTATATCAAACACTTTCAAAATAAAATTTTCAGCCATTAATAGTAACTTTCTAATTTTTAAATATAAAATCTTGTGAATAAATATTTTTTATCAAACTCATGAGTAACATAATTTAAAAATTTATAAAAATTGTCCAAGTCATTGGATTTCATATCGTATTCTTCCAAATTTTCCGCTACTATTGTATTTATCCTTGTATGTAAAAGATTGTCAAGTATTTTTTGTGAAAATTTATTTTTTTAATTTGTATAACTTCAAAAAATATTTCAATTTCTTTTAGATAGTATAAAGTTATTAACTGATAAAATTCGAAATGTATACTTTTTTTAGTATTGACAATAGATATCTCTAGTAGTCCTACCAAACTCCTATAAAAATACAATATAATTACGTGTAGAAAATATTATACAGATATAATTCGTGTATGTATACTTGTATCATATAAAATGTATATTTTATCAAATATTTCATAAAGAAATGGAACAAATGATTTTTTTTTTTAAATTATATATAGCAAAGTATCATTTAGATACAATATGCATACCAACTAGGATTTTTAATAAATGTTAGATTTAAGGGTAGAAAAATATTTCCCTCCCTCAAAGTTTACTTAAATAATATTTAACTTTATTCTTATCATAAAAAAACACTTTTTTTCCCTTTAATTAACTGTTGACTAATGATTATCTAACGAGTTTGTTAAAAAACATGTGAGAATAATTAAATTTTATATACTTTAGTTACTCACTTGATTAAAATTTAAATATTATTTAATTCAGGCTAAAATTTTTTTTTAAATTTCTTAATTTTATTTTTAATAAAAAACTAACTTTTGATGATTTAATTCTATTATTTCTTAATTTTGAAATAATTTTCATATTATTACTTTTTAGTTTGATTTAAATGTTGAAATAAAAATAATCTAAGTGTTATTTAAGTTAAAAAAAAGAGTTAAGTGTAGTTTAACCAAAATAAAAATTAAATAAAATTAAAATATTATAAAATTTTAAATAAATTAAATAATATTTTAATTTTTAATTAAATAAATAATTTAAATAAGTGAAATTAAGTTATTCTCATCTATTTTTTTATAAAACTACTAAATAATAATTAATTAATAATTAATTAAAAAATATATATTTACCGTAAAAATAAAATTAAATGTGATTTTGGAGCAGAAATGTGCTCCGTACCCTAGATTTAATTATGACATAAGAAAACACAGTACACCCAGAGTGTTTGGTGGGAGAACTTATTAACACGCTTTACTAAAACTTTTGAATTTACACTCATTTTCTTTGCGCGTGGGACATGTTTAAAATGCGGAATACGGTAATTTTTAAAAGTCCAAAATTAATTCAATAAAAACATAACATTTTTGAAACAACCATGCTTTTAGACACTTTCAGACCAAAACATACTATTTCTCTTTATCAAAACAAAATTTATATTTTTGGAAAACTACAGTCTCGACTTACGAAGTTAGAGACGAATTGACATTGATGTTAGTTTAATATTAATTTAATAAATATTAGTAATATTAAATATGTGAGAGAAAAATAAATTTTAAAAGGTAATTAGAAAAAAAATTAGCTTGTCTCACGAAATTATTATATTATCTTTAGAAGATACATATATTAGAACGTGTGACACTCTATTTTATAATTTAGTATCTTTTCTTCACCTTATTTAACATAAATTTATAATATTTTTTTCCACTTCAACTCTCAATATCTTTATAAAATTCACTATCTTGCCTGACTCTATGTTAATACTAGAAATGCTCACAAATAAATGATAATACTATCAACTAATTCTTCTAATTAAATTTAATATTACTTGTCATAAACTATTATTCTCTCTTATATAAATATACTTTTATAACATTTTTTCTTATAATTTCATGCCCTTTCTTTTTAATTTTTTTTAAAATTTCTACTCCGTTCTCACAGACCTATTCAACCAAACAACCCTTGGAACCGAACTTTTGAATAGTCAAAAGGAATAAAAGAAAAGGTTTAAAAAAAAAAAAAAAGAAAGAAGAAAAAAGCAAAGGAGTACAAGTTGAAGGATTGCAATTTGCAGGGGTTCACGGGAAACTTATAGGTGCGTCTGGGAATTGAAATACCTAGTGCAGTACATCGAGATTATCGCTGGATTATACGGTCTTCTTTCGGTGGATGACTAAAGGTTGATGAGGCGCACAGACTCAGAATACACGCTAAACAAATTTCAAAATCTACGTGAGCATTGTCTCCTCCCTTTTTCATTCATTATCCCACTCACGGACGCGATTAGGGTTTAGCCGTTGCGGGGCCCAGAGCATGGCAGGGAACGCGGCGCGACTGCAGGCCACCACCAGCCTAATTATGAAGATTCATATGCGCATTTTGCCACCACACCACTTATCCCATTCACTCGTAGAAAATAAATAAATATTCTTTCCCTTTTATATAAAAAAAATATTCCCTCCAGCTGGTAAATCCGTAATAGCTGTCCCTACTTTTTCTCTCTGGCCAGACCTGCTCGATCTTGGAGAGGAGAGGGGGAGAAGGGGGAGCAGAGGGATCGTCAACGCCTTGTCGCTGGCCGAATTCGCTTATGGCCGTGTCATTGCTTGTGCTTGTGCTTGTGTTTGTGATGTTTTGCTGGGTTTCATCGGCGGTCTCTGCATCTGCGGGGGGAAACTTCCACAGGGATTTCGACATAATGTGGGGAGAAGGGCGTGCTAGGATTCTCGACAAGGGCAAGCTTCTCACTCTGTCTTTGGACCAGTTCTCGGGTTCCAGTATTCAGTCCAAGAATCAATATCTCTTTGGCAAGTTCGATATGCAAATCAAGCTCGTTCCTGGCGACTCTGCTGGCACCGTTACTTCTTTCTATGTAATCTACCATGTCTTGTTCGGTTGTGCTTGACTGGATGATTCGTTTAATTGGTTCTTGGTTTGATGTTTGCTCTGGTTTTTATCATGGGTTTTGCAGCTTTCATCGCAAGGGGCCGAGCATGACGAGATCGATTTTGAATTCTTGGGGAACCTGAGTGGTGAACCCTACACTCTTCACACCAATATCTTCACCAGAGGCGGCGGTGGAAGGGAGCAGCAGTTCTACCTCTGGTTCGACCCGACTCAAGATTTCCACACCTACTCTATCATTTGGACTCCCCAACGCATCATGTATGTACAACACTCCCCTCCGCAAACCACACCACCCCCCCCCCCCCCAACCCAAAAAAAAAAAAAAAAATAAAAATAAAATAAAATCCAGCCCGATTCAATTCATTTTATGAAATTTGTTATTTTTGTTGATATCTATTGGCGCATTTTGTATTTTATAAGGATCTCAAGTGGATTCTATAGTTTCTTCTTTATGAAAAAGCGAGTAATAATAATAATAATAATAATAATAATAATAATAATAATAATAATAATAATAATAATAATATGTTTCAGATTATCTGTGGATGGAACGCCGGTGAGGGAATTCAGGAATCTGGAGTCGATAGGGGTGCCCTACGCGAGTAAGAAAACAATGAGGCTGTACGCAAGCATATGGAACGCAGAGTACTGGGCGACCAGGGGAGGGCTTATCAGGACGAACTGGACCCAAGCTCCCTTCACAGCTTCCTACCGGAAATTCCACGCCGATGCTTGTATTGGGCCTTCTTCTGCTAAATCTAGTAAATCTTGGTGCGGGGAGATCTATTCTGGCTCCGGCAGCGACGATAGTGATGATAACAGGATCATAGAAGAAGAATCGGAGATGATGATCCAGGAGAGCATCCAATGGGTACAGAACAACTACATGATTTACAGTTACTGCTCTGACATTAAGAAATTTCCTCACGGTCTTCCTGCTGAATGCGTCGTCTCCGATTCAAATTTTTACGATCATGTGAACATTTAATTATTGCAGTGTCTCTTCAATTACTTTTCTTCTTTGCACCTTCATTATTTTTTGTGTCTGCGAATATTTGTAATTATGTTAAACTCCTGAATTGAATTAGCTTTTTTCTCATGTCCCAACTTTTCATTGTTCATGTAAATAGCGTGATACTTTTTTTAAACAAAATAAAAAAAAAAAAAAAAAATTCCGTTTAAAATCCTTGAATCCGCTTCCTTGATTGTCTTCATGACAATTTTAACCTTGCTCTTGCGAACCCAAAAAGAAAAGAGAGGAAAACAGAAAGAAAGAAAGGGATTCTTGCTTTACAGATTTTCCCATCAACTGTAGGTAAAGCTGGTGTGTTTCCATGGCAATTTTACAGATGAAATTACTGCATTTGTTATTGCTCTGTTTATCAGCTTTTTATTTTTATAATTTTTAGCATTTGGTCTCACACCAGGTTTTTTTTTTTGTTGATATATTAGTATTTTAAAATGAGAATAAGAGCATGAAGTGATTAGAAATGAAATTTTTGTTTTTTTATTATTTTTATGGAAAAATATAAATACGCCCCTCAAGTATCACTCAAACACAACCCTCCTACCCTTCCCCAAACCCAAAGGATTAATTTTAGAAACGTTCCTAAGCCATCAAAATTGTTGCATTGGCCCCGCGTCACCCAAGACACCCATATAGTTAATGGGTGTTTTGGACAGGGATCCAAGAAGAGAGGGTTTTAATAAGGGATATGATTGTTTTCGAGATATTTTGGAGATAAGTTGGGATTGTTTTAGAAATAAGTGTCAATTTATTTGAGTAATGTTTATTCTTAGTTAGTAGTGTAAATAAAGATAAGTTTGAGTAGAATAGATATTCAAGAGTTATTTGCTAGTTTTCGGCACTTGTGCTGGGTCTGAGAAGTTCTCTTGATCTTTTGTGTCAATCTCGGAACAATTAAGTATTCAAAAGTTATTTGCTAGTTTTTGGCACTTGTGTTGGGTCTCAGGAAAAGTGCTCTTGCTTAGGCTTGGATTTCTTAAGTTAATCTTGGAACGAAGAGGCATCCAAGAATTATTTGCTAGTTTTTAACACTTGTGCTGGGTCTTGGCACAAGTCGTTTTGGTTAGGTCAGCTTTTCTAAGTCAATCTTGGAATGAAGACGTATCCAACGGTTTGTTCGCTAGTCTTCGACGTTTCTATTGGGTCTCAAAAGAAGTCTTCTTTATCGAGTCAGGTGTTTGGAGTCAATTTCGAAATTTGACACTCTTTTCTATCTTTATTTCATTTGATAAAATTACCTCAATATTTATGCTAACAGTTTTCTAAATAAAATAAACATGACTAATCACACAAAATAAATTGGCTTTTGATTTTTGTCACATCCAAGTTTTATCAAACGTACATTTCCATTTTTAATATCTATGTCAGTCTTTATATTGCCTTCAATCTTTATGATTCTGGAGGTAAATAGTTAGATTTTACTGCAATATCCTATCAAGAAAAAATCTTGAGAACGAATGATTACATCTTACAAACATTTTCATTGTAGTGGGTTACAAGGGCTTATTACAGTAAATGTGGATGATTTAGTGAACCTAATTTCAAATGATAAGGGCGTGTTTGCTTGCCGCAGAATCTTTTAATTTCTAACATTAAATAATAATTGTGTTTTGTATTTCTAACAGCTTTGCTTCGCCCTAATTTTCGGTGAGTATAATGCCAAACTATGATGGTGCTCCAGTAAAATGGTTACGCATCCTAGAAAATAGTAAATGTGGTCGTCTACAAGGGGGCACAATGTCCTGCAACTGAATTCAAGGCAAATTTCAAACGAGCAGCATACCCTACACGTGGACATGCTCAATACTGAGTGTCATTAACGGGGGATAACTTTTCTGAAAACTAGGATGGAAATTTACCCATGAGATGGCTTGATAATTTGTTTTTTGGTAGCTTAGATGGCTTGATAATTTTTATTATTCCTAAAGTGAAAAGTGTGGAATATTTCTATAAGTTAAATTTTATTATGATCTTTTAAATTTAAATTTATTATTATATTAGTTTCTTAAATTAAAAATGTAATATTTATTTTTCTTAAGTTTAATATATATTTGGTTGTAATTTTTTTTAACCATTTTCAGTATTTTTTCAATTATTTAGTGAGGTCAAATTTGTTATTAAAAAGAATAGAAAAATTTTACAAATTTTTCAAAGATATTTGTAATATCTTAATATAGGGGTAATTAGAAAATTTAAATAATTAGAGAGGTAAGTTAAAAGAAACATGTAATAGTCTAATTTTTATATTTTATTTAATTAATTTTGGACTAATTTGTGACAATTAAAAGTTTCAGGGGTTATTTTGGAATTAGAGGGAGTTAAGTGAAAAAAAAAAGAAGAAAATTTCTAGCTGAAAATTAGCCAAATGACCCAGAATAAATCTGCTCCAATAGGAGCCTTACAACACACAAATTCTTTTGAAATTGTACAAAAAGGCAAAACGAGTCTAGCTAATCAAGAAATTTAGAGAATTTTAGAGAGAAAAGGGAGAATTTGAGTCGGAAGGGGCTGCGGGTTTTGCCGGAGTCTTGACACAAAAATCTTGAGCTTTCTTTGATTTCTGCTCCGATTAATCGAGTTTAAATGGTTTATGGGCTTCGGAATTACATTTTTATCAACCCCAGATTCTTCAGGTGAGTTAAAATTTTGGATTCATGGAGTTTTCTGGCTTCCGGGTACCGCAATAGGGGTTTGGGTAGGGCTTCTGCCCATTCGGGTGGAGAAGAAGGGACCCGGATGGGTTTGGGTCCCTGGCTGGGTTCGGCCTGGCCTGCTCGAGTCTGGGCTTGGCCCAGATACACTGCAGGCCCACGGGTTGAGCCGTGGGCCAGCCCGGTTGAGGGCTGGGCCGAGTCAACCCCTGGGTCGACTCAGCCCAATGAGTAAGGATTATAGGTCAACTCAACCGAGCTGATCCATGATAGAAATTGGGGATAGGCTATCCCAGAAGGATAAGAAATCAGGGATAAGGCCAAATTGGGGATAGCAGGGGATAGCATAGTCCAAGATTGGAGGATTAGGGTTTTAGGGTTGACTAAACTGGCAGATCGGTTCAAGGTTTGACCAGTAGGTTCAGTGATCAAATGAACTCGGATTTGGGAAGTTGGGCCGGTTCTGGATTCAGAAAGAAAATACCTATCAAACCAAGCGGGTTCGGGAAATTTTGGATAGCGGTTCGAGGTGAATCGGCCGGTTTAGTGTAATTCCTTTAGGTGACCAGTTCACTAATTTTTGGGCCGGTTCTTGGGAAGTTGGACCGGTTCCTGGTTCAACATGATGGAAACTAGTTGACCATGAAATTTGGTGATGTTTAGAGCTCTGGTTCCAGGTGAACTGGCCTCGGTTTGCGTGTTGATGTTCCAGATTAGGGTTTTTGGCCCGGTTCGGCCTAACCTTAAAGGTTTTGGCCAGGTTAGATGGTTCCTAAGGCTTTTGGGCCTTCTAAATCCATTTTTGAGGATTTTGTGGCCAATCGAGTTGAGTTCAAGGTAGTTTTAGGATTGGGTTAGGCCGGTTCGGGGTTTCGGAGACTGGTTCACTATGGGTTGGGGGTTGTGGAGGCTGGTCCTTTTCTGTTAAGGGTTGTTGAGCTGAAGTATGAGTATGAGTGAGTCACGCGGGATCCGGTGATGGGTAGTGGTGTCTCGGGAGGCGTGTTGGGTATGAGAATGGGATTTAAGTCCCGTCTTGGGCTGTTAAGCCGTTTGGGTACTGACGATGAGGTCGGTGACAGTTTTGTGTGGTTTTGGCTTCAGGTTCACCCTTGGAGGAGTACTGGGACCAGAGGGTTGATTGACGTGACCTGAGACTTTTGTTAGATTCGGTCTACACTGTGAGTGATGATACCCTCTCTGTACATATATTTTCATACTTGTTTTTCTAGCATGAAGTCTGCATAGATTTGTGAAATTGTGTCTGATATGTGAATCTTGGAATGCGTGTCATGTGTTTTGTGAGCTGTTAGTAGACTAGGTTAGTATGTACTATTGATTTTGGGAGATGTGAATTTTGGGTGTGTATGTGTACATGTTCTTGATTTGCATGTGAGGATGGTGTTGTGTGATGTGAGGATGTCAGGAACTCGCTAGAGTATGGATCCGTAGGGTCCAGTGGTGAGCGGCTTGGGTTGGGCAAGTTACTAGCGATGCCAGGAACTCGGTTGGAGTACGGCGGTCTGTAGGGTCCAGTGGTGAGCAGCGTGGGTCGGGCGAGTTACTAGCGATGCCAGGAACTCGGCTGGAGTACGGTCCGAAGCGTCTAGTGGTGAGTGGCCTGGGTCGGGTAAGGTAATTGCGATGCCAGGAATTCGGCTGGGGTACGGTGATCCGTAGTGTCTAGTGGTGAGTAGACCTGGGTCCAATGTTGTGATGTGGATTGATGTGATGTGATGTGATGCGTGATTAGCGATGTCTTTTAGAATATAGTTGATATGTTCTTAATTGTTGTATATGTCAGTATGGTTTGAATTGTGGAATGATGCATATTCTAACATGCATAGAGTAGGTATCATCCATACTCACTGAGTTTCGCGACTCACTTTTATAAACTTTCTAAATATAGGTTGTTGTTCTCGGGGCACGTGACAGGATTGAGACAGTTGTCTGCCACTTCATGTGATGTACGGGCGAGTTCCTTGTTTACCTGTTTTGTACTCTAGAGCTCCCTTTATCGCTCGGGCAGGATCCTGGCTTGTAAATGACAATTTTGAAATGTATATATATAAATATGTTGGTTAGTTCTGGCATATGTTTGTGACGGTAAGGCTGACTAGGGTCGGGGACCCTAGTGCCAGTCAGGGTCTGGGTTGGGGCCCTGATAGAGTGGTATCAGAGTAATAGGTTTCCTGAGAATAAGGGGAGCAAGGTTCTTGGATAGTGCTTCAGTTATGAGGGTTAGGGCCCCACTTTCATAACAGGAAGACTGCCAGGAGCCTCTTAGGTGTGCTTGGCGTCAGTTTTGAA